AGCAGCAGCAGCAGCAGCAGCAGCAGCAGCAGCAGCAGCAGCAGCAGCAGCAGCAGCAGCAGCAGCAGCAGCAGCAGCACCTGGGAAAGCCCGGAAACCTTCCGCGCCAACACTGCGCGGCGGCAGTACAGCGAAGCCCACACTGTCTGTACACCCGAGCAAAAGGCCCCCAAGTCCCCCAGCGGCACATTCGCCACAGACTCGTACAGCCCTGCTGCTGAGGCCCCTGCAGCAAAGCAGCAGCAGCAGCAGCAGCAGCAGCAGCAGCAGCAGCAGCAGTGGCAGCAGTGGCAGGAGGGGCAAGGCAGTGGCAGGAGGGGCAGGGGGGTCAGTGGCGGACAGCTGGCTCGCTAGCTAGCTAGCTGGCTAGCTAGCTAGCTAGCTAGCTAGCTGGCTAGCTGGCTCGCTAGCTGGCTACCTAGCTGGCTAGCTAGCTGGCTAGCTGGCTAGCTAGCTAGCTACCTGTCCGGACCGCTAGCTAGCTACCTAGCTACCTGGCAGGCTGGCTAGCTAGCCATCTAGCCATCTACCTCTCCATCTACCTGCCTACCTATTCAGCTAGCTAGCCAACCAGCTAGCCAGCCAGCTAACTTGCCAGCTCGCTAGCTAGCTACTCAGCTAGCTAACTGGCTAGCTCGCCAGCCAGCTAGTCAGCCGGCTGGCCAGCTACCTAGCTGGTTACCTAGCTAGCTATCTGGCTATCTGGCTAGCTAGCCAGCTAACTAGCTGGCTAGCCGGCTAGCTAGCTGGCTATCTGGCTAGCTAGCTGTCTGGCTAGACGTTGGCCAGCTAGCTGGCTCTCTGGCTAGCTAGATATCTGTCTATCCGGCTAGCTAGCTGGCTAGCTATCTGGCTAGCTAGCTGCCTGGCTAGCTAGCTAGCTATATATCTAGCTAGCTAGCTAGCTAGCTAGCTACCTTGCAAGTCTTCGACGTTTGCTGAGGACCTGAGGCAGAGGCGCGCTTTGGGCCCGAAGAAGTTGAGGGCCTCCAGCCGGAAGCTTTCGGGCAGCGGCAGCTGCAGCAGCAGCTGCTGCAGCTGCTGACACACGGGGGCCACCGCCTCTGCCTGCAGCAGCAGCAGCAGCAGCAGCAGCAGCAGTCACCAGCGGCCTAGCAGCGGCAGCAGCAGCAGCGACGGCGAGACTGCAGCAGCAAACGCTGCGGCTGCAGCCGCGAAAACGGTGCCAGCACAACTGTCTACAGCAGCAGCAGCAGCAGCAGCAGCAGCACGACGCCATCACCGCAAATACAGCAGCAGCAGCAGCAGCAGCAGCAGCAGCAGCAGCACGAGCCACATCACGTGCTACCACCACAGCCAGAGCAGCCGCAGCCGCAGCCACAGCCGCAGCAGCAGCCGCAGCAGCACCAGCCACAGCACCACCACCACAGCCACAGCAGCAGCAGCAGCAACAGCAGCAGCAGCAGCAGCAGCAGCAGCAGCAGCAGCAGCAGCGGACGTCTAGAGGCAGCGCATCGAGGCGCTGCAGCAGCTGCTCGAATTCTTCCTTGCGGCCTTCTGCTGCGATCACCCACTCCATCGAGCCAAACGGCAGACACAAACACCTGCACAGCAGCAGCAGCAGCAGCAGCAGCAGCAGCAGCAGCAGCAGCAGCAGCAGCAGAATAAAATAAATAAAGCAATAAATAATTAATTAAACGGAGAGTGTAAAATTGGGGTTTAACAGTAAATAAATTTGCTTCCAGAGAGTGAAGCAAGCAGCAAAAGCAGCAGGGCTGAAAACAGGGTTTAGGGTTTAGGGTTTAGGGTTTGGGGTTTAGGGTTTAGGGTTTGGGGCTAACCTGGGCGCTTTGAAGGGCGGTTCTTGCTGGATGTGCTGGCCATCTGCTGCTGCTGCTGCTGCTGCTGCTGCTGCTGCTGCTGCTGCTTCTAGCTGAGCACAAGTTGCTGCTTTCGCCCCACAAGCAGCAGCAGAAATGTTTTGGCCCTGCAGCAGCTGCGGAGGGTTTGGGCTGCTGCTGGGGTACAGCAGCGTTTGCTGCAGCGCCAAGGAGCAGCTTCTGCAGCAAACAGCAACCTTTCTTTCATCTGCTGCTGCTGCTGCTGCTGCTGCTGCTGCTGCTGCTGCTGCTGCTGCTGCTGCTGCTGCTGCTGCTGCTGACTGGCAGAGCCTTGGGTTTAGGGTGTGGTCTAGGGAGCCTCTTCTGCTGCTGCTGCTGCTGCTGCTGCTGCTGCTGGGCAGAGCCTAGGGTTTAGGGTTTGGCCTAGGGTGTTGCATTGCGGGTCGCCAGACCCCTAAGAGCGCAGTATCTCTTTTGCTGCTGCTAGGGTTTAGGGTTTAGGATCTAGGGTTTAGGGTTTGGGATCTAGGGTTTAGGGTTTAGGGTTTGACCTGGGGAGTCTGCGTGTGGGGTCGTCGAGCTCGTTGAGAGCGCAGTGGCTCTTCCACTGCTGCTGCAGCAGCTGCTGCAGCTCCTGCTGCTGCTCCAAAACCCTAAAAGAGACACTTTCTGCTGCAGCATCCAGCAGCAAATGTTTTCCTTCCAGAGCAGCAACAGCAGCAAAAGCTGAGCGCTCTCTGCAGGCAATAAACGGCAGCCGCTGCTGCCGCGCGCGCACTCCTGCAGCAAACAGCAAGC